GACCAGTCACATCGCCGGGGGGGAAAGTGGGACAAAAGGATTTTGGGGGGTACCAGATGGTTTTCAGGGGGAATGGAGGGGGCATCAGTCGTCACCAACAGAGTATAGAGGAGAACTATAGAAAATGGACTGTTATTAAATGAACCCCCCCCCTCGCGCAGGAAGACAAATAATGACCTTTACTTAATTAAGCAGTTGAAAAAAACGTCTTATAACATATTCTTTTCAAAAGTACGATCCTGATGATTTTTAAAAAAAAAACATTACGAGGCTGATTTTACCCCTTACGTCAGTATACATCTTGTCTACACTGTTCTCTATAAATTTCCTATGATTGCGACAAGGAGAATTTGTCTATCACCAAGAGATTCTTCATCTAACCACTCAGAAACTTCCTCATTTGTTTATCGCCTTTGCAAAGCTAGCAGCTTTAAATTCGGGCTCCAAAAAACGATTTGAGGCCTGTACGAAGACCACAGTCATGATCTCCTTTAGTTGGTGATTTTTTATTTTATTATTTTTATTTTTGTATCCTCATTGCGTTAGTGTTTGATTCACCGCGAATCGTGTAAGTCTGGGAACGAATTGACTGAGTACGAAACGTCGTTGGGTAAGAAACGACTGGATACCAAAACATGATATTAATGATTTTTATTCTCGCTTTTTACAGAGGATCCCACTGCCTTGTTCCAATATCCTCGAAGTTCTCCTGATGCAGTGCTCAAGTTTGTGACAGACATCTTTTCGTCTCAAGATACTTCTGAGTTTTTTTACACCTCAGATATGAAAATCCTGATAGAGATTGTTCTACGACAGCTGACGGATCTTTCTCCTGGGACTGGGGTCGGTTATCGAAGCAGCTTTTTTTTTCTGTACGTTTTGTAATCCATCAAATAATTTTAATTTGCACGGGTCTCGTCTAGATGCATTACATGGCCGAATATTCGCCAGTCAATACTGGGGAATATGCGTTGATGAACCCTAAGTGATATTCCCCAATTTTAAACCCTAAATCCAATACGGTAAAAGTCTTCGTTTAAAATTTATCTCAAGATGAGACAGCAATTAACTGCTGTTACAGAAGAAGGGTGATGTATTTTGATTCATAATCAAGAACATGTTCAACCTTTTTTCTTATTATTAAGATTTTGCCGATTATAAACGACTTTTTTATTATATTTTTGGCAATCCCACCATGTTAAAAGACGTTGAAAAGTAAATAACATGGTGTTATCAACTAAATTGATAACTACCAAATACCATGCCACCGTAGCGGTTTCCTAAAGCTGACATTTTTAGCGTTAGCCCCTCGTTAAAGTGAGAGATGAAGAGCTGACGCAGGAAAAGTCAGCAGTAGGAACTCTGTACATTGGCTAATTGACCTTATCAACTCGGTTGATAAAACCCAAGTAACCTGTGATACCTCCACCGACGCGGCAGTAGAGTTTCTTTAAAACCTTACCCCCTCCATCCATTTTGTCTTAGATAGTAGAGATGAGTTTCCTAACTGAGGCGAATTGTTTTTTTTTTTTCCTATAGATGAGAACGGAGTACATATCATTACTACATCAAATCCTGTTGAATTCTAACTACAGTGAACACAAACATCAGGCTAGTGAACTCCTCACTTGTCTGACGAGAATCAGAAAGGAAGAAGAAAAAGAAGGCGAACAAGACAGACTTATTGCCCAAGAAATACTCAAACACGCGTCGAAATATTTTTAATTTTCAATTGGGCGTCGGAAGTAACCTGGGATCGCTTTGGTTTGGTTTTTCTTTGCTCTCTGATTGGTGCAGACAACTCACGTCATACATACAACCAATCAGATGCAATCTGTAGTTAATGACGCTTTGACTTCTCGCATTTTCCCGCGTATGCCTTTACTTCTGAGATATTTTCCTTTGCTTTGATTGGTCGATATGATTATTTTGGTGTTAGCTTTGCAACAACCAACCCAAGGGTCCTTTAGAATGAATTTATGCTTATTCAACTGTTTTTTACGTATTTTTGCTGCAGACTTTAAATTATAACTCGAAGCTTCCCTACACAAAAAGATGTTATATGCTAATAAAATTATTTTGAAGATATGCTATCACTTTTAAAAAAGAAACATAGCTTTGGGAATTGTAAGAAATCCGTTTGATTGTAGTTGACGCTTTTCTTAGCGAGCAATCATTGTTTATCACCGGCCAGGGAATGGGGGAGGGGAGGGTCAGAGGATTTTGCTGGTTTCACTGTAACTTTTACGTGATCTCGTCTACGCCTCTGTAATACTATGATCCCCACTCATGGCAGTGAAGTTTCTATGGCTCTCCTTCTATACCCTGTTAGCCACGACTGATCCCCCTTCCTTCCCCTTGAAAACCATGTGATCCCGAAAATCTTTATAACCCTCCCATCCCCGGCGAAAATTAATGACTGGATCCGCAGTTTCATTAGAAGTTTCCTTTTGTATGAATCCCGATACCAGGTCGAAACTAGCTCACTCTGCAGCCCCACTTGTAGTAGTTCGAGTCCAAAACGATGGCGAAGATTGTTCAATAGAAAATTTGCAGTTGATATTGAGAAGGAAACTATCCCACGTTCACAATCTAGAAATTATCCACCAGTCTCGTTCCACTAAATCTCGTCCGCAGACGTTCTCACACAATTCGCCCAAGGGAGCCAGTTAGGTGAGATGCCAAAATACCTCTGCGGCAGTGATTACCTTTGAAGTTGTTGTTTGGTTTCATTAAGACGGTTGGCGGAAGAAAATGTCAGTTGCCGGACTACACCATCTCATGCGTATAGTTTGAAACTGCTTCTTCGGGAGGCAGTTGATTTCTAGTTTGGCTCTAAGCACATTTCTCAAGAATTCAAACATTTTTGTTAATCGCCTGATGAGGACTCGAAAGATTTTGGACGAGATCACATGATTATTATGATTCTTATCTTCCAAACAGTGTGTTGGTGAAATAAATGGAAATGACTTATTAGCTGCTTCTGGGGGTAAAAGAGTTTAACTTTCATAGACTACACATTTTCGATTGTGCAATTATAACACATATACCGAGACATGATTTTAATCAATTGATCCACATTGATTTCCCTTCATTTCACATGCAGCAAATGCAAAAACCCATATGAAAAATCCTCAATACTGAATTAAAGCATGATTATTGCTCAAGGATGCCTGTGGCTTAACAATTAATCCTTCATTTTGAGCAGAGCATGTAGTTCAGCGTCTTTACTGAACAAAGATGTATCCGAAGGCCCCGATAGTTTTGTCTCCGTTGTCCCCGCCAAACCTAGCTAGCTACGTTTCCGCACAGGACCTCAGCAAACGGTCCCCATCCACCGTGAGCCAGGTTTCTGATTGATGCGCAAGAACCTGGCTGCGCACGCACTCTGGAAGGAAAAGTTGATCACCGGTACCCATGGAAAAAATTCATTCATCACTTGAAGTTTAATTTTGTAGAGGGAACGTTTCCGATTGGATATCGCTGGGGAATCACAAATCATGAAACCCGTCATGCAAAAGTGGCATGCGCCTTCTCAAGATACCCTAATCAGTGTTTTTATCGTTTTCTGCTTGGAGTGGTTATATCATTTTTTCCGGATAGAGGCCCCAACCAAAAAGCAGAAACAACGAAAGAAAGAAATCATATAAACATCCCATGTAAACCTAGCCGCCTGGTTTTCATAATGTGAATTGAGCTCTTTCACCCAAAGGTATGCTTTTTAACACTCGACCACACTCTAGCCATGGATTGTAAGCCCAGTGGCCGAGGTGTGACAGGGTACAAGCCTGGCTACCAAGTTTGCAATGTAGGCTTTCAAACTCGATAAATAAGACAAGTCCTCTGTAGCCTTGGAGAAAAATGCCCTTTGATCAAAGGGTTTCAAATACCTACCCTCTCCACCCTCTGAGTTTTCCACACGAAGTCATTTGCAACCCGGCCCTTGGTTAGGATGGTGACTTGGATGCATGCGGGCACTAGCCTGGATGTTAAACTGCTTGCATTTTCTTTAGCCAGGCTGGCTTAGCTTGAGGGCGGTCAATGCCCATCTTCAAGAGAAAACCTAGCCACAAGGCTTTTGCAATGTCAATCGAGCTCTCTTCCCCAAAGGCATGCTTTTAACACTCATTAGCCATGGAATGTCAGCAATGTGGCTGATGTTTGACTGGGTACAACCTGACTACCAAGCCTGCAATGCAGTCTTTGAATCACGATGAATAAGACAAGCCTCTTTCAGTCTCAGAGAAAAATGCCAGCTCGGCGAGGGGTTTCAAAAACTTTTTGAAACTCCTCGGCCAACCCTCCCTTTTCCCTGAGCTTTCCACCCAGAGCTATTCACAACCCATCCTTGGATAGATTGGTGGCTGGGCTGCACGCGGACTGCCTGCCAACTTTAGAAAGTTTCCGTACAGATTTGCAGATCACAATCGCTGGACCAATTTTGGCCTCAAAGTTCGTGTTTTATCCGTCTAACTTGAAGTATTCTTAAGTAGATGTATTTTACAATTTGTGCCTTTATCTTGCATATCGCTGTTTCTCGACAGTTTTCTTCACAATCGGGTTCTCAGCCATTGCGTCCATTCAGTGATAAATTGATTTCACTCTTTTGCTCTTCTGGCCGACAGCTCATTCAGTTTTGGGCACTCTGATTGGTTTCTAGCACTATTTGAGCACTATTTGGTGACTTTTATGATAATCAATGACATGATCACAAAATTAGAATAAATTTATGATTCTCTCTGACAAACTTCACAAATATCTTTGTCGTACCGTAAATGCAATAAATCACTCTTTCTTTCGATTTACCAGCTTAATATACCACTTGGGATGTTGGAAGAACACTAGAAAAGTGATAATACCACTCGGCTGCGCCTCGTGGTTTGCAAACTTTCCTCGCGTTCCCCCAACGTCCAGCGTTGTTTACTACTTCGGTAAACCGATCGAAAGTGTGGTTTATTACTTGAGGTGATTCCTCAGAAAAAGGAATTATCGGAAAATTAACTTCTTTTAAACTTTCCTTTAATGTTCCCTATCAATGTCTGTTTCGCGGAAAAATACAATGAAAAGATAGGTCACCGTGCTTGCCTAAGAGATGTGATGAGCCAGTCTTACCCCATTTACGCCTGTTTTAATACCTGCAGAGGACCTCGATCTAACGAACCTTTATATAATGAAGTCCTCGGTATAACGAACCAATTTCTCCAGTCCCTTGGTACTTCGTTAAATCGAGGTTCTACAGTGTATTACGGTCGTCATCTCATCGATTCACGGTACATTTTGCGATAGCTGGAAGCTTGTAAACTTGAAAAAAATACTTGATTGGTGGAAAGTCTCAAATGTTTGAAACAACTTGATGCATCATTTATGGAAAATTACGCAATTTTAAACGAAATCGGCTAAAAACATTCCTCCAGTCGTTAGTTTGAAGGTCTTAACTTGCATCCTCGAGTAACAAGCTTCCTGCACGCTTTCAGCTCTATTGTATCATCTATTTACAATTTACCAAGAAGAGTAGAATAGACAAGTTATGAAAGAGAGGGAGATTAAAAGACTGAAGAAGAAGGCGTTAATTGTTTATTTTAATGTAACCTACAACTTTGAATGTGATTGGTCGACATAAACTACAACTTTGAATGTGATTGGCTTATTAACCTGTCCGATAAAAAAAAACTCTCCAATAACAAACTGTCTGATAACAACTTGGCAAGTGAATTATTGAAAATAGGAGTTTTTTAACCCTATCACAATCCCGAAAATTCTAATTTTAACAATTACTCCAATTTAGAAGGGGATAATTCATCCACCAAAATAATGAAATAAAAAGTATAGATCACTCTACCCGTTTACGAGCAGAAGACCATCGTGCCAGTTTACGACGTTCATCGATTAAAAAACAATACCATGTTCTCGGAATGCCCGCACTTCTTCGCCTGATTAAGTGATTTTTATGTGTAGTACACAATGCACAGTACAATACTGAGGAATCACCGTGCAAACATACCGTGACGTGTGCAATTTCAATTCAATTCAAAGTTTCTGTCCAGTTTAGTCGCAAGGTTTCAGAACTTTCACGATTGTTTGTTCGTTCCATCCCGACTGAGATAGACCTTGTGGAGCTAAAAATGAAAAGGAACTATGCTTAATAATACTCGACTCGGGAAACAGTAGACTTGTAGCTCTTTCAAGCGACGAAATCAGCTTTGGAGTTCCTATGCATTATTTCCGAACGCGAAACAAATTATGGCTCGAAAAAGAAAGCTAAACTTGCTGACCTAAAGCGAGGCTTCAAGACGTTGGAACGCTTCTTTGGAATGGTAAATAGTTCTTTAAGTATTCATAAATCTTATAAGTATTCTTGAAGAGCAGAGTTTTCCCTAAAATCGTTCAATTTAAGAATTTTCAGCAAAAGCTACGCAATTTTCTAGCCTTGAATTCTAGTAAACAACGGTGCAAGCATGCTGAATTCATCACACGATTGTCATACACGATAGAAATCCGTATGTTTTCGCTTCTAACCAACAAATTTATCATTTCTTGGAATAAACATTTGGTCTTGGTGATGGGCCGGAATTGCTCTCGGCATACCCTCGCGCAACTCTCCGCGTGAATCCATAACTCAATAAATGCACGCTAAGTAATTAATGAAGTGTTTACATAGTCGCATCTAAAAACAAGAGAAGGGGTTGGGTTTGGAGAGTTCTCGAAAGTCAAGCAAACCCAAATCACAGTCGAAAACGGAGTGTAGGGGGGAAACACGAGACGTAGTCGAGTGTTTCTCCGTACTTCTCGAACAAAGCCCATAGTATTAGTGTGGAATATGGAAATTTAACAAATAAAGAAGCCAAGACTGTGTTCTGTTATAAAGCACTTAGGAGGCGGCTAAAGCGCGAAAGAAGTGAAAGGGGAAGACACGATCTAGAGACGTACAAAACACAAACGAAGACAAAGTGTCGTCAGCATGTTTTATACTCTCACATACACGCTGAAATAAGCCAATAAGGACTCTTGTTAGAATGAATCAAATAATCTGATTGGTTGCTCGGGTAAAAGTGTCGGACTGATGTGACGGATGCAGCCTTCCACTCAAATCATCTGAAAGAATATCAGAGCAAGCTCTTGGTGGTTCACTCGAAGGGCAGACGATGTCATTACTGAGGCTCGCTGTAGAAACCAACCCCCGCCTTGCCCCAGTCCCAGCGTATAATAGCATAAACAGCTCCACATTTGCGCGGGTTATCAAATTTGTAAGGACTTCGTTAGTTAAAGGTCGACCAACATTAGTTCTTCAGACAGTATTCCAAAATCTTCAGGTAATGTCTCCTATCTTCGCTTGTTTCATATTTTATCCTATGTTATCCGCGTTTCCAATGTTATTTCATCGTTGAAATTGGTTGTTCCGCTCTTAATGATTTTGTATGTAACCTTCATTTTAGAAATCACTGGCAACTACATGTTCACTAAGAGTTTAAGTATATCAAATTTCTTTACCCCTTCGAATATTTGCTGGTGCGTTGTTAACAGTTTCTGACGATAGTGGAATTATGTCAATGGAAAATTCGTCCAACGGACGATTGGACACCTTCACACGTGAAAGAATGCTATCCCTGAAGAGAAGTCGAGCAGGTCACTTTGGATATTTAAACAGATTATATAAAGAAGTCGAGTTATTAATGCGAAACGCTGAGAATTATCACGAGGTTTGTAAGAAGAATAAAAATGTAGAAGTCGCCTTTGCGAGATGTTTTCAAGCCTACGACGAATATTATCAATTCGCCGACGACCCTGAACTTAAATCAGAAGCGCTTAATGATTGCTACAGCATAATGACAGGTAAAAAGGAGTTCGACGAACGTTTTGAAGAATGGTCGCAATCCGTTCAACGCCCTGTGAATGAAAATTCAGTGATTCTTCGCCTAGAAGATGGTGATAATGCCTAATCACAGATTGTCACACGTTCAGTAGCCGGCTCAGGTAGCGGAAAGTCAAGGAGCTCCAGGTGCAGCTCACATGCAAGTCATCGATCAAGAAAGGCTAAAGCCGATCTTCTTCGCCGTGAAGTTGAGGTAAAGAATCTGTTAAAATGCCAGGAGATAGAACGTCAAATAGAACGTCAAATTGCCGAGGTGAAGTTTCAAGAAGATGAACTTAAACGCCGGATTGCGTTATTGACAGCAGAAGGGGAAATAAAGAAAGCCAAGGCTATCGATGAACTTTACGAAACAGCTGAATATTCAGAGCGCAGTATCAAGGCAGAGTTGAAACCACTTCGCACAGAGGAAACATATATGCGACTCCCTTCCTGTTACGAAAGAGCCTCGAGCTGGATCGAACTTTAATCATGGCGACTCCGAGCAAGTTGGGACAAACTATTCTAAATCTGTGCTGAACCCCGGTGCTCAACCTTGGAACCCAGGAACCCCGCAGAACACCATTGGTGCCAGACACCTGACTGGTTTCCATCAGCTCCAAGGAATATTAACACAGCAACAGGAAGCTTTGCAACTTATGGCTCACACGATTCGTCAAGGTTTTGAAATGCTCAAAAGAGAACTTTTGACCTTTGATAGTAACCCGCTCAACTACTGGTTGTTCATAGACAACTTCGAGGTCAACATCGCTAAGAGAGTGCCGGACGCCGAGACCAGATTAGCGTACCTGATTCAACATTTTTCTGGGAAGGCTAGAGACGCCATTAACAACTGTGCGATAATTTCCGGACCAGAACAGGGTTACAGGAAAGCACAACAGATTTTGTGCCATAGATTTGGACAGAAACACATAATTGCGCACGTGCACATCACGAAGATAGTGGAAGGCCCTCAGATCAAGAATACCGACGTCACTGGTTTATCAGACCTGTCCGTTCAATTGCAGAATTGCGCGGTGACTCTTGTTCAAATGGGCTACGAGGCAGATGTTAACAGCTCGGAAAATCTCGTAAAGGTATTGAGGCGCCTTCCTGTTCATCTGCAGTCTTAATCGGCTGATAGAGCCGGCTCGTTAACCCTGGCTGGGACGGAACCTACCTTCGTGGATTTAGCTGGTTTCGTTGAAGAAAAAGCTTTGTTGGCAAACACTGTGTACGGTCCAATCGTTGGAGCGATACCAGACAAAGAACGGAGCTCTAGGCCCCCGCTCAAAGTAAAGCCACCTTTCTCGAAAGGAATTGCCTTTGTGACGCTGTCGGAAGACGCTCCTCAAGCGAACACAGCCTCTACCCTAATTTGTCCTTTGTGTTCTGGTCAACATAGATGGTGGAAATGTGAGCTCATGAAAGCAAAGAGTCCAGAAGAAAGAAACAGCTTGTTCGACGAGCAAAACTGTGCGACAACTGTCTTGGAAGCGGTCACATGGCCATGGATTGCAGAAGTAAAATGAGGTGTCACGTGAATGGACGTGACTGGAAACATCACACAACGTTGCACGTTAAGAAGAATAGCAACAGTAATAGCACTCCTAACTATCCTGCAGTCAACTCCGAAGAGACTGGAACGAGCACCGGGGCCGGGGACACTGGTAGATGTGGTGCTACAGAGTCTGGCAAGAAAACCATTTGTTTCAGAATTATTCCAGTAGTCGTTAAAGGAAAAGATCCGGATAACGCAGTTGTGACAAACGCCCTTCTGGATCCTGGCTCGGACGTTACGTTATGCGATATGAGTCTAATGGAGAAACTTCAAGTAGTTGGCCGTCCAAAGGAATTCTCACTAGTAACCGTAAATGGCGCATCCAACACTCGAAAGGGATTCGAGTTGTCTTTGTCTGTCCGAGGATTACAAATGCGAGAAGAAATCATATTAGAAGAGTATGGACAGTGGATACGTTGTGTTTGCCTCAGAGTAGTCCACCAACCAAAGAAGATACTGATGAGTGGTCCCACCTAAGAGGAATAGGCTTCCCGAGGGCACAATCTGATAAGGTGTCGGTCCTCTTCGGCAGCGAAGTTCCTGAGGCTCATTGGGTGTGCGATCAGAGGCGTGCCAGGCGTGGTCAACCTTTTGCCGTGTGTACCCCTCTTGGATGGACGTTGATGGGACCGTCGAGCTCGTGTGATAGAGATTACTTTAGTGTGAACTTTGTCCGCCATGACGACGAAACGTTCCATCAGCAAATGGAGAGCATGTTTAGGAGTGGCTTTAACGAGTATAATTATGATCTCCTCAAGGCTTACAATGTCGGTTGAAGATCGAAGAGCTCGTGAGTGGCCACTGCTGCTGTCTCGTGAGTGGCAAGTTAGTGAACCTCCCGAACAATCGTGAATATGCATTAGGAAGATTGAGATACTTGCAGAAAAGGTTCAAGCGCGACCTTTACATTTTCGAGCAGTACAGTTAACGGTTATGTCTCCAGCGGCTACGCAAGACGAGTCCCCTGTAACGAGGAGGAAGCTGAGAAGGCCGTACCAGTTTCGTACTTACCCCACCACCCAGTGTCTCACCCTCACAAACCAAGGAAGGTGAGAGTTGTGTTTGACTGCGCTGCCAAGTTTAAAGGCACTTCCCTGAATGATAAACTCCCACAAGGTCCAGACCTAACGAATGGACTTCCGGGCGTTATCATACGTTTTCGCCAAGAAGCTATAGCCATGGTCGCGGATGTGGAAGGCATGTTTCACCAAGTACGGGTTGCGCCTGCTGATTGTCATGTGTTAAGATTCTTATGGTGGCCAAACAATGATCTCTCTAAAGAGCCAGTTGATTACCAGATGTTAGTGCACTCGTTCAGAGCCACGTCGTCTCCAAGTTGCGCGAGCTTTTGTGTAAAGAAGACGGCCTCGGATAATCAGAACGAATTTGATGTGGAAACCATTAAGATGGTCAACCAGAACTTCTATGTGGACGACTGCCTTAAGTTTATGCCTACTACTGACAAAGCGGCACGTTTGTCTGGTCAGCTACGCGAATTGTTGTAAAGAGGAGGGTTTGGGCTTACCAAATGGATTAGTAATGACAGGAACGTAATCCCCACTGTTCCAGTAATGGAGAGGGCTCCCTCTGGGGTCAATTTGGATTTGTAGGATCTCCCTGTAGAGCGCACTTTAGGGGTTCAGTGGGCTATAGAGACGGACACCTTTAACTTTCGCATAATGGACGAAGGAAAGGCCCCCACACGTATAGGAATCTTGTCAGTTGTAAGCTTCATGTACGACTGCCTCGTGCTCGTCGCGTTCATTATTCTGCCAGCCAAGAGTTTGTCGAAGAACCTATGCAAGCAGGAGTATGGCTGGGACGAAGAAATTTCTGATGCAGATTCTATTCTATGGCAAGGTTGGCTGATGGAACTAGCATGTTTGAGGTCAATATCTGTTCCCAGGTGTTCCAAGCCGCCAGAATTCGTTGCAGTTGTCAACGTCCAATTGCATTAATTCTAAGATGCTTCCGAATATGGTTACGGAGCAGTATCATACCTCCGGATTGTCGACGACAAGGGTGTTCCGCATTGTTCCTTTGTTCTTGGGAAATCTTGCGTCACCCCCCTAAAAACGGTGTCCATACCACGTCTTGACTTGGCAGCTGCAGTGGTCGCGGTGAATTTGAATTGCCTGATTCGGAACGAATTAGAGTATCCCATACACGACACAATCTACTGGACAGATTCCACCATAGTTTTGCAGTACATTCGCAACGAATCAAGAAGATTTCACACCTTTGTGGCCAACAGAGTCGCGATGATACATGATGAATCCACACCGCGTCAATGGCGACATGTCGACACTTGTGGTAATCCTGCAGACATCGCATCCAGAGGGGCTAAAGGTTCCGAATTACACAAATTGGAGCGGTGGCTCAACGGCCCGAAGTTTCTGTGGAAGGAAGAGGAAAACTGGCCCCGAACAACCGTCCCAGTTGCCGGAATTGCCTGTAGACGACAGTGAATGTAGGAGATGCTCTGGTTGTACGAACGCCATCGTCCGTGGTAAAATGTTGGAACCACTGCTGTCCCGCTATTCATCCTGGGAGCGTCTTAGAAAGGCCATAAGTTGGTTAGTACCTCTCAAGAAGTATTTGGTTGGCCTCCTTGACAAGGATCCAGACAGCATTCCCAAGGTACCCCTGACTGTGAATGAAGTTATTGCTGCAGAGAGTGTCATCATCAAAGCTGTCCAGCACGACGCATTTCCAGCGGAGCTGGCTGTGGTAGGCCAAAGACCGTCGGGTAACCAGAAGAAGAGCGTTCCACGGTCTAGTCCAACACGCAAGTTGAACTCCTTCGTTGCTGAGGGAATGTTAAGAGTAGGAGTTTGCCTCGAGAATGATCCTGTTTCATTCCAAACTAAGCACCCTTTTATTTTTCCGAGTAAA